ATCAAGAACAAGGAAGGTTGACTACATTTCCCTGGATCAAGAACAGGGAAGGTTGACCACAGTTCCATGGATCAAGAACAAGGAGGTTGACCACACTTCCCAGGATCAAGAATAAGGAAGGTGACCACACTTCCTGGATCAAGATACAAGGAGGTTGACCACACTTCCGTGGATAAGAACAAGGAAGGTTGACCACATTCCCTGGATCAAGAAACAAGGAAGGTTTGATCACTCTTCACTGGATCAAGAACAAGTAGGTTGACCCACACTTACCAGGTCAAGAACAAGGAAGGTTGACCACACTTCTTTGGATCTAGACATGGAAGTGTTGATCACACTTCCCGGAAACAAGAACAAGGAAGGTTGACTACACTTCCTGGATCAAGAACAAGGAAGGTTGACCACACTTCCCTGGGATCAAGAACAAGGGAAGGTTGACCACACTCCTGGAATCAAGAACAAGGAAGGTTGGACCACACTTCCCGGAATCAAGAACAAGGAAGGTTGACTAACTTCCCTGGATCAAGAACAAGGAAGGTTGACCACATTCCCGGATCAAGAAACAAGGAGGTAGCACCCACCCCCTTCCCGAATCAAAAGAAAAGAAGGTTGACTACACTTCCCGGGATCAAAGTACAAGGAAGGTTGACCACACCTTCCTGGATCAAGAACAAGGAAGGTTGACACACTTCCGGAATCAAGAACAAGGAAGGTTGACCCACTTCCAGGATCAAGAACAAGGAAGGTTGACACACACTTCCTGGATCAAGTACAAGGAAGGTTGATCCACACTTCCCGGAATCCAAGAACAAGGGGGTGAAGGTTGACAACACTTCCCTGGATCAAGACTAGGAAGGTTGACCACCAAAACCCCCCCCCCCCCAACTTCCCTGGTCAAGAGCAAGGAAGGTTGACCACACTCCCGGAATCAAGAACAAGGAAGGTTGACCACACTCCCTTGATCAAGAACAAGGAAGGTTGACACACTTCCCTGGAGCAAGAACAAGAAGGTTGACCACACTTCCCGGAATCAAGAACAAGGAAGGTTGAATACACTTCCCTGGACAAGAAGGATGGAGGTTGACCACACTTCCCTGGATCAAGAACAAGAAGGTTGAACCACACTTCCCGGATCAAAGAACAAGGAGGTTGACCACACTTCCCTGGATCATGAACAAGCGAAGGTGATAAAACACTTCCCTGGATCAAGAACAAGGAAGGTTTGACCACACTTCCCTGGATCAGAGAGCAAGGAAGGTTGACCACACTTCCCGGAAATCAGAAACAAGGAAGGTTGACCACACTTCCCTGGATCAAGAAAGGAAGGTTGACCACACTTCCCTGAGAAGCAAGAAACAAGGAAGGTTGACTACACTTCCTGGATCAAGAAGGAAGGAAGGTTGACTACATTCCCTGGATCAAGAACAAGGAAGGTTGCCACACTTCCCGGATCAAGAACATAGGATGGGTTGGACCACACTTCCCTTGATCAAGAAATCAAGGAAGGTTGACCAACTTCCCTGGATCAAGAACAAGGAAGGTTGACACACTTACCTGGATCAAGAACAAGAAAGGTTGACCACACTTCCCAGGATCAGAACAAGGAGGTTGACCACACTTCCCTGGATCAAGAACAAGGAGGTGATCTCATTCCAGAATCAAGAACAAGGAAGGTTGGACTACACTTCCCTGGATCAAGAAACAAGGAAGGTGACCACACTTCCCTGGATCAGAACAAGGAAGGTTGGACCACACTTCTCGTAATCAAGAACAAGGAAGGTTGACCACACTTCCCTGTGATCAAGAACAAGGAGGTTGGTCACCCTTCCCTGGATCAAGAACAAGGAAGGTTGACCACACTTCCCAGGATCAAGAACTAAGGAAGGTGACCACACTTCCCAGAAATCAAGAACAAGGAAGGTGACTACATTTCCCTGATCAAGAAACAAGGAGGTTGACCACCAGTTCCCTGGGATCAAGAACAAGGAAGGTTGACACCACTTCCCAGGATCAAGAATAAGGAGGTTGACCACACTTCCTGGATCAAGAACAAGGAAGGTTGACCACACTTCGTGGATCAGACCAAGGAAGGTTGACCCAACACTTCCCTGGATCCAGAACAAGGAAGGTTGATCACACTTCCCTGGATCAAGAACAAGTAAGGTTGACCCCACTTCCCAGGATCAAGAACAAGGAGGTTACCACACCTTCTTTGGATCAAGAACAAGGAAGGTTGATTCACACTTCCGGAAACAAGAAACAAGGAAGGTTGACTACACTTCCCTGGATCAAGAACAAGGAAGGACTTGACCACACTTCCCCCCTGGATCAAGAACAAGGAAGGTTTGACACACTTCCTGGATCAGAACAATGAAGGTTGACCTCACTTCCCGGATCAAGAACAAGAAGGTTGACTACACTTCCCTGGATCAAGAACAAGGAAGGTTGACCATACTCCCTGGATCAAGAACAAGGAAGGTTGACCACACTTCCCGGAATCAAGAACAAGGAAGGTAGACTACATTCCTGGATCAAGTACAAGGATGGTTTGACCACACTTCCTGGATCAAAGAACAAGGAGGTTGACCACACTTCCCGGAATCACAGAACAAGGAAGGTTGACCACACTTCCCAGGATCAAGAAACAAGGAAGGTTTGACCACACTTCCCTGGATCAAGAACAAGGAAGGTTGATCACACTTTCCCGGATCAAGAACAAGGAGGTTGACAACACTTCCCTGGATCAAGACAAGGAAGGTTGAACACTTCCTGGATCAAGAGCAAGGAAGGTTGACCACCACTTCCCGGGATTCAGACATGGAAGCGTGACACACTTCCTGGTCAAGAACAAGGGAAGGTTGACCCAACTTCTTTGGATCACGGACAAGGAAGGTTGATCACACTTCCCGGTAACAAGAACAAGGAAGGTTGACTACACTTCCCTGGATCAAGAACAAGAAAGGTTGACACACTTCCCTGAGTCAGAACAAGGAAGGTTGGACCACACTTCCCTGGATCAAGACAAGGGTAAGGTTGACCCACACTTCCCGGAATCAAGAACAAGGAGGTTGGACTACACTTCCCTTGGATCAAGTACAAGAAGGTTGACCACACTCCCTGGATCAAGAACAAGAAGGTTGACCACACTTCCCGGAATCAACGAAACAAGGAGGTTGACCCACTTCCCAGGATCAAGAACAAGGAGGTTGAACCACACCTTCCCTGGATCAAGAACAAGGAAGGTTGATCACACTTCCCGGAATCAAGATAAGGAAGGTTGACAACACTTCCCGGATCAAGGAACAAGGAAGGTGACCACACTTCCCTGGGATCAAGAGCAAGGAAGGTTGACCACACTTCCCGGAATCAAGAAAAAGGAAGTTGACCAACTTCCTGGATCAAGAACAAGGAAGGTTGACCACACTTCCCTGGAGCAAGAACAAGGAAGTTGACCACACTTCCCGAATACAAGAACAAGAAGGTTGACTACACCTTCCCTGGATCAAGAGGAAGGAGGGTTGACACACTTCCTGGATCAAGAACAAGGAAGGTTGACCCACACTTCCCGTAATCAAGAACAAGGAAAAGGTTGACCACATTTCCCCCTGGATCAAGTAACAAGGAAGGTTGACCAACTTCCCTGATCAAGACAAGGAAGTTGACCACACTCCCTGGATCAAGAAAAAGGAAGGTTGACCACACTTCCAGGGATAAAGAACAAGGAAGGTTGACCACACTTCCCTGGATCAAGAACAAGGAAGGTTGATCACATTCCCAGAATCAGAACAGGAAGGTTGGACTACACTTCCTGATCAAGAAACAAGGAGGTGACCACACTTCCCTGGGATCAAGAAACAAGGAAAGGTTGACACAACTTCTCGGATCAAGAACAAGAGGTTGAACCCACACATTCCTGGAGCAAGAACAAGGAAGGTTGACCACACTTCCCAGGATCAAGACAAGAAGGTTGGACCACACTTCCCAGAATCAAGAACAAGGAGGTGGCTACATTCCCTGGATCAAGAACAAGAGGTTGACCACAGTTCCTGGATTCAAGAAACAAGGAAGGTTGACCACACTTCCCAGGATCAAGGAATAAGGAAGGTTGACCACACTTCCCTGGATCAAGAACAAGGAAGGTTGATCATACTTCCTGGAATCAAGAACAAGAAAGGTTGACTACACTTCCCTGGATCAAGAACAAGGAAGGTTGACCACACTTCCCAGGATCAAGAACAAGGAAGGTTGACCACACTTCCCAGAATCAAGAACAAGGAAGGTTGACCACACTTCCCTGGATCAAGAACAAGGAAGGTTGATCATACTTCCTGGAATCAAGAACAAATTAGGTTGACTACACTTCCCTGGATCAAGAACCTTTTACCAACATCAAGGTACCAGAACCTTCCCTACGTGAAGGTCGGTAAGGGTAGAGGCAGCCTGAATTTTTTTTTTTTTCCTTTGCTCGATTTCGTTGATTTTTTTACCAGAGATTTTTCTTTACCAGAGACTATAGGCATATTGAGCCTCATGTGGGGAAAGTTGCATCAAGATCGTCCAATAAATAAAGTTATAAAAAATAAAAATGTTAAAAATTGGACATGACAACACTTATAGCAACGCAAGTCAATATTGACAATCTCGAAATCATTGTTGATAATCACAAATGATAAAGTAATGCCAAATTGACCATCTAATGGATATAAATAATGCAATAACATGTTTTATGGTACCCCAAAAAAAATATTATTATGTCTTGACTTTATTTAAAAAAATTTTTTTTGCACTTTACATCAATTTATGCAAAACTGAAGGTATTATTACCCAAGACAACTCCATTACAAAGTCAAACAGGCTCCCCTAAATAACTTTTGTAAACTTCAGAATGATCGGTTCATAAATAATGGTTTTACCTCAGAAAAATACAAATAAATGCACTTTTGAAAAAAAATCAACAAATACATTGAACATTACTATACAGTGGGTAAAAATACTCATAGTGCCTTTATACGTTTATTGAGAGTAGAACTGGTTATATAGACATTATTCCTGAAGTTCCATGAAGATCCCTTTGTCCTGAAGTTCTCTGGTGGCCGGCCAATCATAACAATCCATCCCAATCAATCTGAAAAGAAAGAAATGAATTCTCAAAATCCTATTCCCAGTGATTATTCCCAGTGATTATTCCTGTGGAGAAATTTTCTCCAGGAAGGGGGTATCAGCCCCCTTCAGCCCCTTCAAGCCCTCTCAGCCCTGAGGGGCCACTCAGAAGGGGCGAGCGTCTTGTTTACTGCTAGAGTGAGTAATTGATCACAGATGCTATGCGACGTAGTCAAGTGACCTCTGCTCCTTGCAGCGGTGTTGCAACGTGTATTTTTATAAGAGACAATACATTCTAACTTAGCAGGACAATTAAGGAAAATCCTGCTCCCACTTTATTACCATAGTAAAAATAGTGTACATTGTTGTTTATGCTTAAGACAGCAAGAAACAAACATTCTGCTTTGCTTCATCGAGGAGGTGACAAGGATGCAAGGTACTAGGTCAGCGTTTTTTTTTTGTGCTGGGGGCAGTGACGGCATGGAGCGCTGTAGCGTCGGGGAGACTATCTTTGACTCTAGGAAGAGTGACACTGACGCCAGGAGATCTGTGCGTTAGTGTGAGCAAAGTGTCTCTAACACAAACACTTCAGAGAAGTGTGATCAGCTTCTCTTGATACATTGTGAACAATAAAGACAAATCTTGTGGAACATAGTGTACCAGTGTGCGTTTCCTAGACAATGGAAGACGTGGACATCCAAGGACACTTCAGCTTCTATCAAGTCACCGATACCTGTCGAAGGTGTTGAGAACACCATAGCTCACGTTACAAAGAGCAAGGTATGTTACGAATTTCTTGTAGATCGGGGGATTGCGCAATTCTTGAGTCACAAGGAGTTTGTAATCAACCTATAATCGGCAGTAAGGTGTGGACTTTTGAGTCCAAACAAGTAGGTATTTCGTCAGCCATCATCGAATGAAATATGCTGACATAACACCCCCTAGGGGTAATTTATACTTACAAATTGTATCTCTTGACAGCCCACTGTTGTGATGGTTTCGACAGCTTCTAGACCTCGTCTGCAGGGGCGGCTGTGTAGACGATTTGCTGTCATTTATCAGCTAAGTGTTCATTATATATAGTTATAATAAACACAGCAGGTAAGGCCAAAATTCTCAACAATTCCCAGTGATTATTCCCAGTGATTATTCCCAGTGATTATTCCCAGTGATTATTCCCAGTGATTATGTACAGATACATGTAATTGCACCCATATATGATATTTATACACATAACAATATAAAAATATACCAAAAAAACACTAATAATTACGTACCTATGACTGGATGTAGGTGGACACATGATTATCTAATGTCCTCCAGGCAGCAGTGGAGGTAGTAGTTGTGGTAGTAGCAGCCGTGGTGGTAGTAGTTGTGGTAGTAGCAGCAGTGGAGGTAGTAGTTGTGGTAGTAGCAGCCGTGGAGGTAGTAGTTGTGGTAGTAGCAGCAGTGGAGGTAGTAGTTGTGGTAGTAGCAGCCGTGGAGGTAGCAGCATGGAGGTAGTAGTTGTGGTAGTTAGCAGCCGTGGTGGAGG